TTTTTCCTTCAGTTTGAGAACTTCCTGGTTTTTGGTAGGAGTGATTTTTAATTGAGACCTAGGCTTGTTTTTGTATTGACATGATACTCTAGATCCTATTTAAACCTTCTGATACAGCTAGCTTTATCTGAGACCATAAAATAGGTCTCCACAAGGAAAAAGAGGTAGTCCAGTTTCCCACTTAACCTCCATGGACACCCAAATAAGGGATACTTTATTCCTTTAGAACAGAAGTGGCATTTTCAGTTTCCCACATGATCACCACTGACACAGCAGTGGAGGTGGCATGGTTGCCACTAAGTGATAGTTCTCACTCTTCAGTACGTCTCCTCTGACGCCAGCTTATCAGAGATGCAGAGGAAGTGTCCGTTTATAGTCAAGTGGAAGTAGAAATGCAGGCTTTCCATGTGGTCTCTGCTGACTCGACCAGAGGTAAGATCTCATCTCTGGCCAGTAAGGATGAAAGTTCTGCCTTTCTACTTGGCCTTCCCTGATACCACCTAGTAGATGGAGCCTTTCTTTGCAGCCTGGTGAGGAGGCAAACTTAGGCCGCCCACAGCATTTGCTTGTATGGATAGGGTTGGGCCACAGTTTTATCTGTGTTCTCTTCCTGGTGTAAAGAAGTTACTATCTAAAAGCTTTCTGTCTTGCTAGCCTGTCCCTTTTCTGGCCCATGGTGTCAAGAGGTCAAGCCATTATTAGAAGGTTTTTGTTGCTATTTGTCTGCATCCTTTGGCATTTCCAGGTGGCCAATTTATTCAGCTCCAAATCTCGGGTACCTGAGGTTAAAAGAAAACCCAGAGAACTCACCATTGTGTCTCCTCATATTGCAAGATATTTGGCTGGTTTACTATTTTCTCTCTACCTTTCAGATTTTTCTTATGCTTTTTAAAAATGTATAATTTTTAATTTATACTTAGTAGAAGAAAATGGAAAATGTATGTCTATCCCTTTTTTCTGGAAGGTACAATATTATTTGTAAAATTAAAATAACTGATCATCATAAATATTCTTTTGGACATATAACAACCCAATATTGTCACATTTCTACAAATAAATGATAAAATACAGTAAATCAACATGTATTTTACATAGATTCTTTTGATGAAATATTCAAAAACTAGTGACAGTGTCACGTATTCTTAAAGGAGGCATGCCAATAATCTTGCCAATATAATTCACTTTTTAAAAATTTCGTCAGAGTGACCAGAAAATTTGGCAAGTCTAAGAGTATAAATTATGTTATTCATAGATTTACCCAAATTTCACAGTATTATACAATAAATAAGCAGGTTATTAATTACTTATATGTTTGCTTTGTGGCTCTGACAAAGTTATCTACCTTTGGACTAACTGATTATTAGCAATCTCCACAAGAAACATTAGCAACAAATATGATTGTCCATGTCATTGGCTTTATTCAGTTATAAAGATGGACAAAAGTAGTAAAATGATAACTTCATAGTTAGCTATTTATATCAAAGGCAAAGTCAAGATCATAAATCCTCAGAAAGAATTGATACAGAGATTCTCTTTTAATATACTAATAAAATATACCCACCATTAATTTTTTACCTAGTGTTTCAGTCTTTATTGGTTTGTAAAATTGAATGATTCTCTTGTTTTACTTATGTTATATTTTATAATAAATATATCTCCAAAATATGATAGCAAAAGAACTACAGATTTTAGATCTATCTGCTCTACTTAATTTTTAGACCATCTTCTAAGAAATACTACAAGCAAAAAAGTAAAATAGTTATCATCTAATGACATGATCTTTCCTCTTTCCTGATTTCTGATTCTTAAAAAATGAAGTAATTTTTCTTTTGCTTTACAGTAGATAGTATTTTGAGAAGATGTCTCTTTAACCCTTTCCACTGTATTCGATTTTCTGCATCTGCTGGTTTGGTTTCTAAGCTAATTTTATCATAGAAATTTAAATAGTTTTATTTAATAGTAGCCAATAAGTTGGTTTCATACTTCTTACAGTTATTGGTGGGTTGAAAATTATTTCTAAATAAATTCTTCCCCTCATCTCAGTAAGCAGCAGGTCATATTAACAGTAATTGTGTTCCATTAGTAAAATATGTATCAGTTATGAGACACAGTTACAAAATGTTAGAGAATTCAATCAGATTGAAAATTTTCTTTTAGAAATATTTTAAATTAAAACTATGTCATTAAAGAAAAGTGTTGAAAAAGATAGTCATTGATTCTTATGGAATACCAGAAGGCAATATTATAAAATCCATTATAATATCTAAAAAGAGGGAAAATTCATCTTTCCAGCTTGAGTTTACATGAAAATCTGGCAAGAAAGAAGTCAGTAAGTTAGACAATATCTGTTGGATTTTTTGAGGAGTCTTTCACTTTAGTTAATTAAAGAACCAGCCAAGTTTTGTAATTTTGTAGCCCAAAGTTTGGTTGCTATAGCCATGCCAACACAAGCATGCAAGAGAAGCAATCTCTCTAACATTGCTTGTTTCTCAGAGTTTTTATATTTTAAGCTAATTTGGATCATTTATATCATTCTTAAGATGCCAGTTTATTTGGACTTTATCTAATTAGGCTTACTTCTTTTTCCCTTCAGTCTTTAATGTTTTAGTGAATATTGATTCTAAAGTCCATAAATACTAGCAGGACTTTGCTCCAAATGACGTGCTATGGCTTGCAGGTAATGTGAAGTGCCTGAACTCTGCTCTTCTTGAGTCACCTAGTCCCGAGTCAGAAATAAATAAGTAAACAGGATAAAATTTTCTAAAGAGGGATTCTTTGATTAAAAAACAACATCAACAATCTTGACACTAGAATGCCCCAGTGAAAGAATCTGTGACTGGGCTGATGGTACCCTCAATTTGGACTGTGTGGACTTTGTAAGAGCTGAAGCTCTGCCACCACTTAACCTCCTCAGGCAGTCACATGGGGTCAATGGGATCATTTCTCAACACCACCTTGACACTACTGTTTATTTTCTCATCTACCTTATCTTTTTCGTCACCAATTACATTTCACATGGATGAATCACAAGGTTATAATTTTCTTCTGCATGGTTCCTAAAAGCACCTTAGGATTTCTTTATTTCTACACCTGTACTTTCATAGAATGTTAATGGACTTCAACATGTACAAATAACCAGGTCAACATTGAATACTGTCTTCAGCTCTGACAATGCTATGCACTAGGTACTCAGGCTCCGCCTTCGTGCTATTTGCATCAGCAAATGCTTTCCTTTATAGTTACTCAGTAGGCATTCTTTGTGCTATTTACCATGAAGTTTAAAAAATTTAAAGATTCTGCCTATCAATCCTTTCAAAGAAACATTAGATAATAACAGTTTACCTGGTTAATGGAGAGAATTGTGATAGCTATGTAGTCACAATGAAAGGATTGTTCTTAATCACAGTTGTTCTTATCATTATTTATGTGTTTTATGAATGCCTTCTTACAATTTCTATGACCTGTAACAACTTTTAATATTACTATATGAAGAAAGAATCACACAAAAGATGGATTAGTTTAATGGGAAGTAATTGTTGACATTCAAAGATCTCTTTAAAGTCCTTTGTGAAGAACCTGTAAATACTCCTGTGTTACGTCTAATTAATAGTAGAAATAGAACCAATTTCTTGAATGGTATTGCCTAGGTTTTCTTCTAGGGTTTTTATGGTGTTAGGTCTTATGTTTAAATCTTTAATCCATCTGGAGTTAATTTTTGTATAAGGTGTAAGGAAGGGGTCCAGTTTCAGCTTTCTGCATATGGCTAGCCAGTTTTCCCAACACCATTTATTAAACAGGGAATCCTTTCCCCATTGCTTCTTTTTGTCAGGTTTGTAAAAGATCAGATGGTTGTGGAGGAGGGGGGTGGTATTAATTCCAAGTTCTCTGTTCTGTTCCATTGGTCTATATCTCTGTTTTGATACCAGTACTATGCTATTTTGATCACTGTAGACTTGTAGTATAGTTTGAAGTCAGGTAGCGTGATGCCTCCTGCTATTTTTCTTTTTTTTGCTTAGGACTGCCTTGGCTATACAGGCTCTTTTTGATCCATATAAAGTTTAAGGTGGTTTTTTCCAGTTCTGTGAAGAAGGTCAATTGTAGCTTGATGGGGACAGCATTGAATCTATAAATTACTTTGGGTAGTATGGCCATTTTCATGATACTGATTCTTCCTAACCATGAGCATATCATTCAGGACATAGGCATAAGCAATAACTTCATGACTAAAACACCAAAAGCAATGGCAACAAAAGCCAAAATAGACAAATGGGATCTAATTAAACTCCAGAGCTTCTGCACAGCAAAACAAACTATCATTAGAGTGAACTAGCAACCAACAGAATTAGAAAAAAATTTTGCAATCTACCCATCGGACAAAGGCCTAATATCCAGAATCTACAAAGAACTTAAACAAATTTACAAGAAAAAAAAACAACCCCATCAAAAAGTGGGTGAAGGATATGAACAGACACTTTTCAAAAGAAGACATTTATGCAGCCAACAAACATATGAAAAAATGCTGGTCACTAGAGAAATGCAAATTAAAACCACACTGAGATACCATTTCATGCCAGCTAGAATGGCAATCATTAAAAAATCAGGAGACAACAGATGCTGGAGAGGATGTGGAGAAATAGCAAAGCTTTTACACTGTTGGTAGGAGTGTAAATTAGTTCAACCATTGTGGAAGACAGTGTGGCGATTCCTCAAGGACTGAGAAATAGAAATATCATTTGACCCAGCAATTTCATTACTGGGTATATGCCCAAAGGATTATAAATCCTTCTAATATAAAGACACATGTACACATATGTTCATTATGGCACTGTTTATAATACCAAAACCTTGGAACCAAGCCAAATGCCCATCAGTGATAGACTGGATAAAGAAAATGTGGCACATATATACCATGGAATACTATACAGCCATAAAAAAGATGAGTTCATGTCCTTTGCAGGGACATGGATGAAGTTGGAAACCATCATTCTCAGCAAACTGACATAGAACAGAAAACCAAACACCACATGTTCACTCATAAATGGGTGTTGAACAATGAGAACACATGGACACAGGGAGGGGAGAATCACACACTGGAGCCTGTTGAGGGGTGGGGGGTTAGGGGAGAGATAGCAGGGGATGGGGGTATTTGGGAAGGATAATATTAAGAGAAATACCTAATGTAGATGATGGGAGAATGGATGCAGCAAACCACCATGGCATGTATATACCTATGTAACAATATTGCATGATCTGCACATGTACCCCAGAACTTACAGTATAATTTAAAAAAGAAAAAGAAAGAAATAGAACCAAATTCTTAAAGGAAAAGAAAAAATAAGAGAACTATGCATTATTCCTGAAACATGGGAAAATTGTCCTACAGCTACTTTCAATTTCAACCAATATTTGGTAGATATCTTATGAATAAAATAAAATTGAAAAATATTAGTAATCTGCTTATATTCCCCTTTTAGAAAAAGAGGACTGTAACATTATAATTAAATATGAAAAATGGGCATAGAAGCTCAGTCATGCCTTCTCATTTAAAGAATGGCCAAAAATGAGGGCAGATTCTGAGAGAGAGGACGAAAATAACCCTGGAAGCAGCAGAAATATATTTCCTTTGTAACAGCAAGACTTACCCCAAAAGAGTGAACAGCAGCGTTAAGAATTCAGGATTATGATTTGCCATAGTTCATTTCCAATCCAGATTAGCATCCCAGGAATAGTTAAGATTTCTTTAAAATGTATATTAATATAAAAAAGAATTTAGTGTTAACAGCAAAATAATAGATATAAATTTTAATGCTTTTAAAATATAAAAAGAATAAAATACAATTTTTTAAAGTTAGAATTCTGATCTATGTATTCATAATTTGATAATCTTACTTCCCTGAAAGGATATAAACAAAAACTAAAAATAAATGTAAAAATTGTTTCTAAGTGGTTAAAACAGTATTATTAAAAGTTCATTTCCACATAGTCACAGGTAATATTTGCTAAAGTCAAAAGTCACTGTAAGGACTTTGGAGAGTACTGCATACAAAAGAAAAAACAATTACTGAAATCTTTCTACCATAAAGAGTATGTTCTAAGACTGGCCTTTTGTTTTCCTCATTCCATTCTAGAGGCTGTGTAAGTCAGGAAGTAGTGCCTCCTCTCATTATGAGAAGAATGATGACTTTAAGCTGTCAAAGAGCAATACATTTTCAGGAAAAATATATAAGCATCACAAACTTTTCTATACATAAGAGACTCTCACCTGAAAAAAGTGGGCGAAAGATATGAACAGACACTTTTCAAAAGAAGACATTTATGCAGCCAAAAAACATATGAAAAAACACTTATCGTCATTAGTCACTAGAGAAATGCAAATCAAAGCCACATTGAGATACCATCTCACGCCAGTTAGATTGGTGATCATTAAAAAATCAGGAGACAACAGATGCTGGAGAGGATGTGGAGAAATAGGAAGGCTTTTACATTGTTGGTGGGAGTGTAAATTAGTTCAACCACTGTGGAAGACAGTGTGGCGATTCCTTAAGGATCTAGAAATAGAAATACCATTTGACACAGCAATCCTATGACTGGGTATATACCCAAAGGATTATAAATCATTCTACTATAAAGACACATGCACGCAGATGTTCATTGTGGTACTATTTACAATAGGAAAGATGTAGAACCAATGCAAATGCCCATCAAAGATAGACTGGTTAAAGAACATGTGGCACATCTACACCAGGGAATACTCTGCAGCCATAAAAAGGATGAGTTCATGCCCTTTTCAGGGACGTGGATGAATCTAGAAAAAATCACTTTTAGCAAACTGATACAAGAACATAAAACCAAACACTGCATGTTCTCACTCGTAAGTGGGTGTTGAACAATGAGAACATATGGATACAGGGAGGGGAATATCATGCACTGTTGAGGGGTGGGGATCTAGGGGAGGGATATCAGGGGCACGGAGATTGGGAAGGGATAACATTAGGAGAAATACGTAATGTAGGTGACGGGGGGGATGGAGGCAGCAAACCACCATGGCATGTGTATGCCTATATAACAATCCTTCAAGATCTGCACATGTACCCCAGAACTTAAAGTAAAATAAATTTTTTAAAAACTAAAAAAAATTTTGAAATATTTGATTAAGGCAATGTAAATATGAAACCTATTGTCCAGATAAATTACAATACCTATATCTATCTTCTTCCCCAATAATGTCCAAGTGATAAAAGATGTGAAGTAGTGTTGTCTGAGTCTTAGACTTAGTCTGCTACTCTTCCAATGAGTGAGTCATATCCCTCAAAGGACTAACTGAAATGTTTTCTACTTTAAAATTTTTCATCCTAGATAATTTAGTCTCTATGTGTATTGCAACAAGTAATGTACACCAGTATTATTATTGTTACAGTTATGATTGCTATATGACAAATTACCCCAAAAACTTGACACTAAATGAAAACTATTTTATTATATCTCATAGGCTCTGTGGAACAAGAATTTGGACGGGACTTGGCTAGGTGATTTTTCTACTCCTTGGATTGTTGACAGGGTCATTTACTGTTGCTCCTATCTTACAGATTTGGAAAGCTCAAGACAACACCACTCCCATTTCTGGGATGGATGGAAGACTGGGTGGGCTCAGTTGTAACTGCCAACCAGTGTGACCAAACTTAGTCTCTGAATCCTGGAAGTCTCGGGGTACTCACACTGCTTTCACCCCAGCTGGGTTTCCCCAGAGAGACTGTTCCAAGACAACCAGGCAGAGCTGTGTGAGCTTTTCTAACCTTGTCTCTTAATCCATGCACCATCACTTCTGCCTTTTCTTGGATATAAGAAAGTCATAAGGCCAGCCCAGTTTAGAATAAATCTCCACATCTTAACAGGGAGTGGCAAGCTTGAATTGCAAAAGAATTTATACAATGGGAGATGATGTTGTGGTCAACTTTGAAACATACAACCTGAAAAATACAATTTGGAAATTTACTTATTGCCTGGAGTCACTTGACTAATAAGTGTTAGATTTAGGATTTTAACCCAGGCCAAGTCAGACAATAAAAAAGCCTTTTCATAAAAATTTTGTAATGGCTCCCAGAGAGAAAGAGGAGAAAGAGAGAGTGAGAGAAATAAAGGGAATACTGTTTGGTAGTCTGATTTTAGTTTAAAAATTAGATTTTGAAAATACCAAAGAGTTTGCCATTTATCCCTTTTTTATTTGTTGTATCACTAAGACTTTGTATGTATCATATGAATCAAAGATGGAGGAATAAGGTGGAATATTTAGTCTTCTCTTTTACCCTTTATGGTTTTTTTATAGCATTGTGTCTGATATAAAGTAAGTGATCAAGAAAGATTTGTTGAATGAATGAAGATATGTTTGTGCAAATGCTGGTAAAGAAAAGATAGTGTGTATTTGGAAAAATAAAGGCACAGTCTTAAGTATTTTCTAGGAATTGTAAAGGTTTTATCTTTCCTTTGAGCTGCCTGTTGAAGCCTATTTATGAGATTATTTTGTTTTCTATCCTAAGCTTAAAGAATTTAAAGATACACAATCCCCTCCCCTTCCTTACCATTAAATCTTCATATTAAAAATATTTGAATATAGGAAATACTAAAATAGTTTTTCATGTAAATATGCAGGTTATTTTACATAATACATTATTAAATTAAATGTTTATAGTAATTTAAAATATTGCAATTAAAAGTATAAACAACCAATTTATACCTCTGTAATTAAAACAAAAAATTATATAATTTTCAACTTTGACTTGCTGTTTCAAATGTTACAAAATTATAAGTGATATATAAATAAAGTATATGTAAAAATATGTCATATAAAGAAACATGTTTATCCAACTATTGCAAATTTTCTAGAAGTAACAATTTTACTTTATTTCATACTCATAAACCTTCTCTCTCCTAAAATATGATAAATGGATGAATAATATTTATTTCTAAATTCTCTCAGAAATTCCCAAGGCAGTAGAGAGGATTTTTCTAATGCTTAGGAAGAAAGCATTTGGTATTATTTGCTCAGAGTTAGCATTTCCATATGAGAAAATATAATGTTGCCATGGCAATACACCAGAAAAATCATAAATAAAATCCAATATGACATATAACCTCTTCTGTTTTAGAAAGCAGGTCCAAATTTTTTAATATATAGAAATTTTATTTTGGAAAAGTCTTTATAAGGAAACAATAAATAAAAGAAGTTTTATTTAATTACATTTTAAATGTCTCATAAAAAGAAATTTCATTGGATCTCAAGTTAGTCTCTTCATTTTCTTTTGTTCATTGGTTAATATTGGAAAATACCTTATGTGTGAAGTGTGAAGGGATCACGTTTTAATGGCTTATGGAGAAATAATGGAGAATGCATAAATGTACTATAAAATGTATTCAATCAGATATTGGTAGATTTCTTTTTAGTATTCTGCTTTATTGAAAAGTAGCATTAGTTAGTTAACTAACTTCCTTTTTTTTTTGGGGATGGAGTTGTGCTCTTGTTGCCCAGGCTGGAGTGCAATGGTGCCATCTCAGCTCACTGGAACCTCCACCTCTTGTGTTCAAGTGATTCTCCTGCCTCAGCCACCCAAGTAGCTACGACTACAGGCGTCCACCACCACGCCTGGCTAATTTGTTGTATTTTTAGTGGAGATGGGGGTTTCACCATGTTGGCCAACTGGTCTCGAACTCCTGACCTCAAGTGATCCACCATCCTCAGCCTCCCAAAAATGCTGGGATTATAGGTGTGAGTAAGCCTTTAGCTGATGGAATGAAAATTAACAATTCCGTGGGCAACTAGAGAGAAGGAAATGGCATTTGTTACCTGTCAGAACTGGAATTCGATTGTTGCTAACATTTCTGAACATAGCAGTTACTTAAGCAGAAAAAGAGGAGAGAAAAAGATAAAACATCTAAAAGCAAATAAAAATTTTCTTCCCTTTGACTTCTCTGTTGATGGAATCAAGCCAGTCCATAATGAAATCAACTTTGTTCACC